CTCTCTCTCTCTCTCTCTCTCTCTCTCTCTCTCTCCCCCCCTTTTTAAATCAGTTTCCATTTACAATTGTTTAACAACATAATCTTCAAATCCATATAGCATTTTTAAATAGCAAAATTGTACAAGTAAAAATAAAAATTAAAATATATGAACGAAGAGAGAGATAAAACGCGAATTGCTTGAATATCGTTTTACTTTTCTTCCCCCTTACCCTTACCCTTTCCTTTCCCTTTTGACTTTATCACTCTCTAACAGAAAATAATATTAAACAAATTTAGATTTATTCCAATATTTGTATATTATTTTCTCGAAAACTGTAAACATAATATCTAGCTGAACAAAAAATCGAATAAAAAAAAAAAAAATTAAATAATAATTTCGATAAGAAAAATTCATTCATGGGAATAAGAGAGAAGAAAAAGAAGAAGAAGAAAAAAAATGTCATCGGTTGTTCTATAGTACCAATGTTCCTTTCCTTTATTCCCCATATCGTTGGTTCTCTCTTTATATATCCATATTATTTTCGAGCCAGTTATCCCACAAGACTTTGCTTCTCAATTTTCGATGAAAAGCACGAAAGTGGAGTGTCAAGTGGATCGTTTCTATACTTTCTTGCTCCTTCGATTTCCCCCATGGCTCTTGTCCAAATGCGTAGTCAAGATATAGTTCGCGAATCACCGATTCTCTTCTTCTTCTTTTCATTTTTCTTTTTCTTTTTATTTTTCTTTTATCAAAAATCGATGGAGAAGAAAATCGAGATACTACATCGAATTATTTTACTTTTCAAAAGGACCATCATTTTTCCTATTCGTTTTACCATGATATTTTCATGATATTATTTTCACGGGTATATTTTCACATACATTCGATATTCTATTAAACGCGCGCGTTATTTTTATATCGATAAAACAATCTGTTTTTTTTTTTCTAATTTATTATTCATATTTTGAAACCCATAAAAATATTATTACAACTTAAACACACACCTTTTTTTTTTCTAACTAATCGCGACTATTTTATTTTTTCTTCTTCCGTTAAAAATGTGACGGAAAATAAAAAAATCGGAATGATAGTCTGTGTGTATCGAATTGTTTTTTATCTTTTCCAAAATGATTCACACCTTTCGTGATTATATTTTCGTACATTGAAAAAAAAAAAAAAAAACTCGCGAGTTCGTTCACAACGCCGAATGAGATTAATTATAATATTATTATTATTTCCTTCGAAAAACCCCCGTTGTGTTCGTATTTTTACAACCACAAATATTATTTCAATAACCAAAGTTATTGTACCTTTCGTAACAACGTATTTTAATAACTATTTCTAAACACAACACACACATTTTTCTTCTTTTTCTACTAATGTAAAAAAAAGAAAAAAAAATTCTTCCTTTCTTTCGTAATAACGAAAAATACAATACATTTCTTTTAATTTTCTTTTGTCTTACTTCACATTTTTCTCTTCCGTAAACGCAACAACACGACTTCGTTGTTACTCGTCGTTAACAAAATTATTTCATAACAATTTCATTTTTTTTTTTTTTTTTTTTTTAACGAACATTCATTCCTTTATCTCGTTTACACGAATTAAAATATATTTTACGCATAGAAGACCCTTTCCTTTATTACCGTAAAATTATAAAAAAAATTGTCTTCCAACGACGTACAACACCCCCCGCCGCTTGTCGCGCACCCTATTTCGAATAATAATTTTTCTTTTCGTTTTCTTTCAAACCAAAAATTCTCTTCTCCCGTTCCGACGAAAAAATTACAATTTATTCTTTTTTTTTACCTCACGTCTCATTATAACCGTAAATTCATTTCTCTCTCTCTCTCTCTCTCTCTTTTATATTTTTTTTATATCTCAAGACTCGTTATTACCGTCCAGAAAAAAAAGAAAAAAAAAGAAAAAAAGAAAATACTAAATGAAAAAAAAAATTGGACCAAAATTTTCGCCAACGTTAACGAAAACATCAACCTCCTCCTCCCCCTCCTACTCCTCCTCCTCGATGTTATCGAAATAAATATCAAAAAGATGAAAATCAAATAAAGTGAAAAGAAAATAAAATTAAATGAAGTATCGAGGCATGAATAAGTTCTACGAGATTTGCTATCGTGATCTACATTTGTATTCGACCCACCCCTTTCCCTTCCCCTTACCCCTTGCAATCCCATATTCTTCCCTTAACATTCTTATTCCCAGTAAGACCGTTCAAAGTGTATATATATATGTATTGTGAGAGGGTGGATTTTATCGAAAAGTCAAATCCGACGTTTCTCTTATGGTTTTTCGTAAAGATGAAAAGACAGATCATGTTCGTGTGATATTTTTCTATGTGTTGGTTACGTTTCCTTTCAAAGAGCTTGCATTTATCGTTCTATCGAAAAACAGGTACTACTATTCTTGGTGAGAAGAAAAATAAAGATGTGGGTTCTAATTTAATTCCCCCCCCCCCACTTCTCCCAGCCCCTGACTCCCGGTTAAGGACATTTTGTTATTTATAGTATACACACAGTAAGGTTTCTCAAACTTTTTCACTTGTTGACCCCCTTTTTTACTTCCAATAAATATTTTCGCAATTCTGAGTGTATACTCTTCTTAGAAGATCTTCTTTTACACTATAGTAATCTCACAGACGTATTCTATACGTATAGGTGTTGCAAAACTGAGTGTTTTTTTTTTATCTTTTTCTTTTTTTAATTCATTTTTGATCGTTACGCGTCCAAACAATTTGTAATTTTGATCAAATTTCTACTATCCTCAGATTTAGTTACGTGATGCTAAAATTATCATAGATAAAATCTGACTAACTTATTATGATTATATGTATATATTTTGTAGTTTTAAATTATAATATTAAAGGTAGGAAAAAACGTTTGGTGCATTTTGTGTACGTCGGATTTTAAGTGTTACGAACAATTATTAAAGAAATTATTATTCTCTTTTTTTTATTTAAATTTTTTTTTCATCTCGTAAAAAAATATTTGCATAATGAAATTATTTGTAATTGTATTATTTGAAATTAGAAATGCTGATTTGATTTTATAATAATTGATATGTAAGATTTCCTATGGACCATTCGAGATACGTGTGTGAGAAACGTGTGAAATAATAATATGTTAAAAAGGAAAACAAAATAGAAAATAAATAGAAAACGTAAACTCACCTCTTAATGAATCAGCAGTCGTGGCAAGAAGTCCCTGAAGACTCCTGCTGTGATGATGAATCAAATCGTCAAAATCCCTTCCGGCTTTCTGTCTCAAAAGATTCTCGACTTCATGTCCACAGCATGAGGCACCACATATCGCTATGAAAGAAAAAAACGAACAAAAAAATAGAAAAAGAATTTATTAAAATTCTTATTTATTTTTTTTTTTTTTTTGTATTCTTATACTCTTCACGTATATAAACAAACATATATTTTCTATATTAATGGTCTTACGTTTGTTTAAAGATTTTTCTTTTTTTTTTTTTTTTAAATATATTTAATAAATTTTGTATGATAGATGATATAAAGAAAAGAAATACGATCGGTAAGAAAGAAAGAAAGAAAGAAAGAAAAATGTTTCCACTTGAAAAGCACGAAAAAGCTCAGATACGTTTTTGCTCGGTTTCGCAATTAGGAGGAACACTTAACTACTCAATTTCTCAAATTTCTAACTTTACTTTACATCTTACTGATTTTTATTTTTAAATAAAAACAAAAAGAAAATATAGTATGAAAAAGATATTTAAATTATTGACGACATAATATAAAATGAGTCAAAAATTTGTGTAAGTGGATAAAACGTTCCAAAATTATTATACTTATCAATTACTCCTTTCCCAAACTTATTGCACTAATATTTTTTTTATCAAATATATAACAATAAGCCTTGTTTATAAAATTACACATCTATAATTACGTATCTAAAAGTATCTTTCATAAAAGATATTAAAGTTTTCAAATAATCTTACAATGTTTAACCCCCATCTTGTATATAATTCATTAAAAAATAAATAATAAATAAGTTAAGTAAAAATTCTCGAATAAATTTCTTGTTACATATTCTTCGAAGTGTCGCATGTAAAATGACAAATTTAATTATAAATCTGAACGATTTATTTTTACTCTAATACAATAAATTTATTACAAAAAAAACCTAAAAACTTTCGGCCCATATTACAAAAATCGACAAAAAATAAAATGCAAATTGTATTAAATTGTTTGTAACACATATTCATCTTAATATTATAATATATATAGTTAACAGAAAAGAATATCTAATTGCGAACGTTTGTAGTTATCGATACAACCGCAGATCTTTAACCAATGTTCTCAAAAAAAACCATCATTTTTCTGAAATATAACTTAGGAACACTGTGTATCGAGTTATTCATGTTGGTTACGCGGTTGCAAACAGATACCTTCCCCTCTATCGTTACTTTTAATTCGATTCTATCTTGAACAAATCGATTAGATTCATATAATATAATATAATAATAATAAAAAACTAGAAAAAGATAAAAAAAAAAAGAAAAAAAAAAAGAAAAGGAAGCAAATCTAAAAATATTATCTTTTATCTCTTATCTCCAATAGATACAACCAATAGATATAATACATTTTTAACGAACGAATATCTATACATTTTTATAACATTGATGTTTTCATTCGGAAAATCATTTGATTTTTTAATGTAGAAGAAAAAAAAATGGGAAAAATGAAATTTAAAAAATCGGCGATAAATACAATCGTAGAAGAAAAAAAAGAAAAAAAAAAAAAGAAAGAAAATCAATAAATTGTCTCGAGTGATAGTTATCGAAGAAATTATTGTGGATTAGAACAGCCATATTTAACCTGCGGCTCAAAGGAATAGGCTCCCAGTAAATGGGGGAGAATATATTCAACTTTTTTTTCAGCAACCAAAATTGGTTTACAACCGCAATTGACTCCCACCCCCATAATCCCCCCCCACAATCCCCCCCACTGTCGTCAAGAGTCCGATCATTCTAATAAACAATACCAAAGATCATATTAATATTTTAATACTTAATACACCTATTGGTTTTTACCTCTAATACGATTTTTTGCAATTAATTATCTATTATAGATTTTACTCAAACAACTATCTCAACTTTGCAGACATTGTTATTTGTATACTTATTTCTATAAATATCCATCAAATTGACGGGGTACTAAATCACACATTCGTATTTTGTGATATATCAAATGTTGCAATTAATTCGACGTTGATTTTTTTTTGTAAACAAAAATAAAATATTTATTTAGAAAGAGTAATTACAAATCTGTTATTATTCGAAATAGCATCGATCGATAAAAAAAAAAATAAAGAAAAATTATTGACAAATAATAGAAATGATTTGAATCATTTTCTGCATGAAATCTGATTAACGCGTTCAAATTAACAAACGAGTTCCTGATAACGAAATTTAATATTAAAAATATTTGATTTGACCAAAACCAATGTACGTTTTCCCTACGAAGTAAAAAGGTTGAGAACCCTTGTATTAGAACAACCAAGTCGTGTTTTAACAACCGCAAAGAACTTTATTCGACGACGAAAATTTCATTAATCCGAGTCGTAAATCAAATTCCTCTCGAGGGATGCACGCGAGTCTTTTATCTTCTTCTTCTTCTTCTTCTTATTCTTCTTCATCTATTCTTCTTCTTCTTCTTCTTCATGTTCTTCTTGTCTGGTAAGTTCACGAGTGAACGAACGAACTAACGAGGAACTGAACAATTAAATTCCTCGCGTCTCGATTAGAGGACAAAATTATCGCGGAACGATTCATCCAATCGAGAATGTACGTATATGTGTACGTGCACCTATGTGTATGTATAGGTAGTAACTAATACTTGAATAGAGAAAGAGGGAGATAACATACTCCATTTTCATCTAAACGTTCGTCTCGTATCACCGCACCATTTTCTTTTGTGCCATTCTATTCCGAGTAATTTCTTTGAAAAATTAATACCGAGAATACTCAAACTGAACGTTTAAAAGAATTAAAGAAATCTATTCTTTTCCTTTTTTTTCTTTTTTTTTTTCTCTTTTCTAATATCAGACTCTTTGAAAAAAAACAAAGTTAGATCAAAGAAAAATTTCATAAGAAATATAATAATATTGAATGAAAAATTTTTGTATAATATATAACAATTTTACAAGATTGTCTTTTAATTTTGTTGTTAATATGAAAAAATAAATTAATTTATGAAGCCTCGAAATGATAGTAATAATTATTATTTAATACTGAAACTATATATACACACCAATTAAGTGTATATTTTAAAATATTCCTATCATTTTTATAATTATATTATATAGATGATAATTGAATAATTTCGAATATAAAAAATAAATGTAAAACTCTCCTCATATAATTTGGGATTTATCTAAGATTTCTAGACGCACCTTATATAAAATAAAGTTGAACGTAGAATACTTTGGAATACTTT